AAAGGCAGGTCGTGCATTTCCTGTCAGTTAGATTACCTTGATTGTGTGACTGGAGCAAGAGACGTCGGAGGTGCCATCATCGTAATATTTCTTGACATCCAAAAGGCTTTTGACTGTGTCCCACATAATCTATTATTGCGGAAGCTTTTATCCTCTGGTATTACAAATTCGCTTCTAGATTGGTTGTCTTCCTACGTCGAGTAGAAAGCCAGTAGTCAAATTCGGCAACTATATATCTGAAGCCACTACAGTCTCTAGTGGAATGATTCAAGGTAGCGTGCTAGTCCCCCTTCTATTCTTAATCTATTTCAACGATCTCTTTGATGAAATCTCGCATGGGAAGCCGTTCATTTTCGCTGATGATGTGTAACTTGTGTATTTTTCCGCCGCTGGGCAATGTAGTCTTAACTTAGCCTATATTCAGTCTGACTTGTCCGCATTGCAGCTCTGGAGTAACTCCTGGAAGTTGCACATTGCCACTGACAAGAGTAATCTATTGTACCACGGCTGTTGCTCTTCTCTGAGCATACTTACATTAATCGATACCCCAATTCCTGTGCGTGGCGCAGTCCGAGACCTTTGCCTAAGATATTCTGCCTCATTTAATATTTAAGAGCATGTTATATACTTGCATGCTTCTGCCAGATAAGTGATCGCCTATATAAGTCGATGCATTATTTTGAGGGATTCCAGGCTTCAAGCCTTTAAAATATGTGTTAGGCCGAAGCTTGAGTACTGTACGATAGTGCATAGTAATCTGAGAAAAGTGGATATTATAGCACTAGAAAACATTCCGCTATCATTCACAAAGAGGTTTTTGAACATGCCTAATACTATGACACACCGTGAGCGTTGCGAGGCGCTAAATCTGGAGCTGCTATGGCTACGCAGACTCAAACTTAATCTGTGCCTTCTATACCGCTTATTATTCGGATTAAGCTTCACTGCTCAACCACAACTCGAGTTTCAGACTCGTATGCGCTGTGAACTAAGAAACAGCGAGCGCACGGTAAAAGTACCAAAGTCTCGTACAAAGCTCCGTTCAAATTTTTATTCTGTAAAATATGCGTTAATATGGAACGAACTTCCAGCGAGTGTTAGAAACTGCACTACCTATCCACAATACAGACGCATGAAAAATATTCACCTGACTGTTGCAAATACCTGGTCAACAATATGCCAAAAGGTGACTCTAAATGATTTGTATGAGAAAGGTCCTGGATACATATGAAAGCCACCAAATCTTCTGTTCGTTTCAATAATATAAGATTACCTACATACAGTTGCATTCTTGAGTATATATTTGAGAACGAACTTTCTCCTATCAATCCGTCTAACCAATTCTGTTTTCTCCTTTGACGCACTGGTTCGTAGATGCACTACGCCTTTCAGGCTGATGTCTCTGTACCATCGTTGCACTCGCCAAGATTTTCAATCAAATGGTGACTGGCCTATCGGCAAGCTTTTGTATTCATAATTATGTTTTATAATTCCTCATACTTTATCTTCTTCTTTGTTTCACCGTTGGTCATGACTGGGCTGATCTCTTCCAAAAGAAAAAGTATACCCATGCAAATCATATTAGTATTTACTCGCTGGCTTAATACAAAAAGTGCCAAACTCGATTGAACCGCATGACAGAACAGAATGAGGCTTCATTGCCTATAATGTATGCATAAAACAGCCCTAAAAAAGATATTTGATACCTAGTTCTGGTCGCCTATTTACTATCTTGCCACACAGACACAGAGTTAATTGAAGCATGAAAGTATGGGTGAAACCCATCGTGGAAATACACTGCATGGAAGCTAGTCCCCTGGGGACAGTTCCACGGATGACCGTATTACTTTACTTGAACTTTCCGTGAAATCTACATTTATTATTGTTCCCAGTTCCATTATCTTTCTAATTTTTCCAATCTGCAAATCAATTCAAAAACCCATAGAGGAACCATTGATCAAAAGACGAATAATTAACTAAATTTGCGATCACATTGTACATGTTGCTAAGACCATCCAATTGGTCTGTGCCTCGCACTGCCGAGGAATAAAACGTTTATTTATTTAGTTAATTGAATGATGCATTATCAATGAACGTTTGTTAACCCGATATGTGGGTATAAATATGGCAAATGCACTCGTTCTCAGTAGGCTTGTTGTGTGTCCGTTTTCGAAGTTGATGCATCCAACCATTTTAAAATTAAAAAGAGCTTCCACTCGCAGAGCTATCTCAGTAGATATAAGGGAATTCCATGCAGTCTTTCTTGTACAAGCAGCCGGACCACATGAATATTCGACTAAAGACTGATGTGAGAAATTACATCGTTTTGCAAGTAATAACCCCGCTTAAGATGTGGGTCTCACGTCTTGCTGTAATAAGCTGTAGAAGAGTAACATCCCACATTGAAATAGAAATGCTGTTATCATGATATGCTATCGTTCATTTTAATGCCACATAGCATTATGGAAATAGTCGATATAATTTACAGTTTGTTTTCACAGGAATGTTGTAAGCAATACACGAATGGCAGTTCCGCATATATATTTGGAAATTTTGTGTGACGCAGTAAATTGTCAAAAATAATTTGTCCTTAACTACCGTGACTCTAACTTATCAGCAGTAACTTTACTCGCCTTTAAATCACAACTATACTTACCATAGCGCAGCTATTGGTGGCACTTATTTCACCCTCAAATGGTAGTCTTATACCTATAGTAGAGATTAAATATTTCATTGAAGTATGAAGTGGCAGTACGAGGCACAAATTCAAATACATCCTTTTTAATCCTTAGGACGCATTATTATTTTCTGCGTGTATATTAATTCCGTTAAAATATAAGTCGATCTGTAAATATTACGCGGGTCTTTAAATGAGTAAGTTAGACATCATCGAACATTAAGGTGGAAAAAAAACTAAATTCAAGCTAAGTAAATGTTAACAGTCTAAGCACATGTGGAAGCATCTTTTGTAATTTATACCAACACGACATGTATATGGCCATTTAGAATAAGCAAAGAAAATGCCTTTAAATAAAGCAGGCTGTCCTGTAACTGATATAGATTTGAGCATCATTAGATTCTCAAGATAGACAGAAATGATAATAGTGATACATGAGAAGTTAATACGAAACAAATCAATGAATGTTGACCGCTTGAAAGAAATAGTTGCCGTGTTGTCTAGGACAGTTTATAGCGACTGGCAACGGTTATTTATGATCCTGGATGCAAAGTTGAATCCTCTATCAAACTGTTTGTTGACCATAAAATCAACGATGGGATACGTTGCTTAATTCAACGCATTGAAAAATAAATTTCACTGATAGCAAAAGAAGAGTAAAAGAACGTTAAAACTGTGCATGAGAAATCGCTGAGGAACAGTATATATAATGTGCGCGAACAAGAACGTACAAAAATTATAATTAAAACAGTATACGCTGAGGATTTTGAGCCTAAGTAAGTGAAGTGTTAGTTTACCGACATTTTAAAGCGGTCTGGAAGGTGTATTGTAAGGGAAGTTTAACCCAAGTAACTGAGATGCTTCAGATCAAATAATACCAAGCGGACGAACATCCAGAGTACTGATGTCCACACCTTTGAGTCACACGCCCCACCTCCATTCAACAGCAACCGCGGAAGCTCCGGGGCAAACCTCTTCCGCCGTAGAGAAAAGTCGGGCGTCGTACGCCTCAGTCGCCTCAATGCATACACCGGCTAAATTACCTCCGACTCCGGTGGCCTCACCAAGCAACAGTAAGTTGACCAGACTCCAACAACCAAACAATCCGTTTAACACCGTGTCTGTAAGTCATGGCAAATCTGCATCCAACGCAAGGAGCCAAGGCGCGTTAACCGTTGTGTGTACAAATGTTCCTGAATCACAGGCGAGTACAATAAAGGGGAAGCTGTTGGATGATCGTAATCAGTGGAAGTCTATATGTACTGCGATTGGCATTTCGGTTGAACCTGCAATGCTGAGACGAGTCACACGTCATCCAAATTCAGCGCACTACGGTGAACCCCGACTTCTCCGGGTGACACTAAACTCCACCAAGGACACAGAGGCAGTTCTACTATCGTCCAACAGGCTTCGTCATTCATCACTCGAGGCGCGCATACTTCCTGATATCCCCTGGAACGAACGTCCGAAAAAGATGAGCAACCGTGAGGAAGTTCGTAAAGCCGAGGCGAAACGGACGATAATTGTGTACGGGGTTCCTGAGCTCCAAAACTCAACCTCTGATGCAGCGGATGCACATGACCGGGAGCAATGGAGTTACATCCGCCACGAAATCTCCCTCAATAATATCATCGCTAAGCGGTTGACCAGGATTCCATTTTCACCCAACTACAAAGGGAACGGTCCCAGACTTATGAAGGTGGTGCTTCAATCTGAGTTTATGTTACCGCTCGCCTTGGAAAACTGGTCCAAATTCCGCATGAAGCTGCCAGCGGAAATTCGGTTAAAGGCATCAGGTACGCTGCCACGGATTACCAACGACTCACGGGGAGCGATCAAATTGTTGAACCATCCACTCATGCAACTTTGTGAAGGCATGGATTTATCGACAACCGCAATATCCCACGAAACACGGCTGAACACGGGGGACCAGCAGGGCCCGGAAGGCCGCGATCAGTCGTCTAACCGAAAGCAAACTCAAAGGCAAACGTCACCACAAAAAAACGGTTAATGGCCGACCCGTTAACGGTCGGCACAAACTCCATTCCTACCACACCCTGTGCTAGCTCACTCTTGGTTACAAAAGCACTATCCTGCATGTATACTAATGCACAAGGCCTCATAAGTAAGTTGGTAGAACTCCGTCACCGTTTGGCTTCGGAGCCTCGAGACATCATAATGATCGCCGAAACCTGGCTGAGCGGCGAAATCACAGACGCTGAGATTGCCATACCGGGTATGTCACTTCTCCGGAACGACAGAACGGGCAAGGGCGGTGGCGTGCTCATTTATTTCCGAACGAACCTTCGTTGTGAGCTCATAGACGATCCCGCCACCCTGTTGTGTGGGTGGGGGGGGGGGGGGGGGGGGGGGGGGGGGGGGGGGGGGTACCGGTGGCGGGGGGGGGGGGGGGGGGGGGGGGGACCCGGGGGGGGGGGGGGGGGGGGGGGGGGGGGGGGGGGGGGGGGGGGGGGGGGGGGGGGGGGGGGGGGGCGGGGGGGGGGGGGGGGGGGGGCACACACAACCCTATTGTGTGTGTGTAAGGGACAACACACCCCCCCACCGGCAAAAAAAAAATGTATTGTGTAATAAGAAGTAAGTTTGGTGAATAAGGTGGTTGGAAAGATAAGTAGGATGAATTTAATATATGGTGGTTTTAAAGAAAAAAGTATGAATATAAGGAAAGGGTAAAAAGTATGATATAAGAGTTTAGAGAAGGTGCTTTAGAAAAAGTACAGTACATATTCTTAGTTGCGGAGATTTTCAACTCAACATGATTTGGATAAATCCAGAATCACGAGAAAGAAGTGTTAAAGGCATATTTGCAAGAGCTACTCTTTACACCTCTGTATAACCACGTCACCGTTCCAACCATTTCAAACAGGAAACAACCCACGATATAGATCTAGTGCTCACTAACGAAGAGCTCATGGGCGCGTTGGACTAAAAGGTGTGCAAGTCCTGGGCCGTAGCGATCTAGTGACTTTGCAGTTTGATTACAT